CAAAGTCCATGCTCAATAATCCAGGTATAATCCAACATTTTTCAGTCAGGTCATCTGGACAGTTTCTTTTTTTGTGCTGAAATGTTTTACCTTCAATCCAGAAGGCTTCATCAGTCAAGGAAACACACAACAAAACTGATTCTTTCCCAACAGCTTACTCCAAAGTGGAACTTTGGACTTTCTTTTCTTTGAAAAGGAACTTTCTAGTCCCACAAACTTTACACTTCTACAGTTTATAAATCAAAATGTACACTTGTGGTTTTAATTTAAATTTAAGTTAAATAAAAATTTGAAGTCTGAATCTTCTCTCCAAAACCTAAAGTGGAGAGTCTTTAATAATTCAATTCTCACATCAAATGAACTGCAGATAAATAAATGGTTGAATTTCATGTAATAGTGTCACATTATTAAAAACCTTATTTAGCTTATTTACTACTTTTCACTCACATTTATTAAAAATCAGTCTGTCTTCTGTTTGTGCAGTTCAATGTTTGTGGCCACATTGTAACGTCTGCCCACCTTTATGGACTTTGTATGGAGGCCGCTGTTTGATGTTCAACAGTTATGAGATGACCTGGGGTGATGCTGAGGTACAACTCTTTAACTTGTATGTTGCTTGTTGTGTTACCTGTTGTTTTGTCTGTACAGCACTTTGGTTGGCCATGTTGCTGTTTTAAGTGCTTTATAAATAAAGTGGTATGGTATGGTAACTCTGTTTTAGACCCCTGTGGATGATCTAAGGCAGTAATCTGTTCATCGGTCATGGACGTTCCTTGATGTGATATTTTTAACTTGAATCAGTTGTCAACCTGATACAATAATTCTCAGTCATCTGGACAGTTTCTTTTTTGTCGAGGTGTTTCACCCTCTATCCAGAGGACTTCATCAGTCTGAGGAGCCCCAAGTAAACCGTTTCCCCACTAAGCAGTAAACTCCTTAAGTGGACTAACCAGTTTGCTGTAGATAAAACTCAGACTGATGAAGCCCTCTGGATAGAGGGCGAAACGTCTCTACAAAAAAGAAACTGTCCAGATGACCTGAGTGAGAATTATTGGATTTGGTGCATGGATGACTGAGCATGAATTTTGATGCCAACCTGATGAAGACCAGTTTTAAGGAGATACTTCACAGATAGGTTATTACTGCCATGTTAGTCGCCTCCTGTACAACTAGTTCATCACGATGATGAAGATGTGATGATTTATCTGTGCTGGCATCTTTTCACACAGCAATATTGCATTAATTATGATGGACATCTGGCCTCCTTTCATAACCAACGTCAGTACGACTCCATCAGGAGATTCATTGTGAGCGCTACTGGAACCAACACTAAATCTTGGGTTGGAGGCACCGATGCTGGACAGGTGAGGCTTTTGTGCAGGAATCTAACTACCGGAAGTGGACAAAGTTTTCTGTAAATCTTTTCACAATCAGGATGAAATGAAAGAAGTGACATTTGAAAACTTCCTCTCACAGGAAGGTGTGTGGACATGGAGCGACGGCTCCCGTTTCTCCTTTGTTCCTTGGGGCAGTGGGGAACCAAACAACTTGGGTGGAAACGAGAACTGCATGGATATCAACCTGAATGGTACACAAGATGACACCTGCTCTTTAAACACGTTTCCACTGTGAACGACAGAATTAGGTTTAATATGTGGGTCACTTTAGCTGAAATATATTACAGTAGTCCCTCGTTTATCGTGGGGGTTACGTTCCCAACCCCCCGCACTAAGTGAAAATTCACCAAGTGGTGATGTGATATTTATTTTAGTATTTTTATATATTTGAATCCTTCCCACACTCTGTTCTAAACTCTTTAACCTTCATAATTTTAACAACCAACATGTATGTACTGCACCGTAACTACTAAATTAGACTCACCAGCTCTGCAGAGCAGCAGGTCGGTTCTGGTCTGACTCGGTTTCATTTTGGCAGGACTACCCTGCTGGTTCTGGTCTGACTCAGTTTCATTTCGGCAGACCTACCCTGCCAGACCTATCCTGCTGGTTCTGGTCGGCTCTCTGCAGCTCTTGAGCACCAAAATGCTTTTGGAGGGAGTCAGACCTTCGGATGGCCAGCACAAGACCACACGGTAGTCAGGATCGAGTCCAGATCTAGATGGGAGAAGTCCCGGTGGACTCCGGACAGAATATTGGACCTCGGGGCAGTGCCTCCCTGCTTGGAAGTCCTCATGGGCCGGTGGGCGGCACTCAGATTCACAGATGAGTCTGGAGGTCCAGTCCTGGTCTGGCTCCCGGTCGGCTCCATGAGGCTCTCTGCATCCATTTTGTGTCCAAGTCTCAACGAACAAGGACCAAACTTTTCAGATTGGATCGTAACTTTCCCTCCATTTCAGCAGAAGACAATGGGGCTTCTGGGTGGGGCACGTTGGCTTCTGGGAAATGTAGTCATTTTGACTGGCAACACAGTATAAGCTTATTGAGAGAAAAATACAAAATGGCAGAGCCTCTCCAAAGTATTTTTTGTTGACTTCTGACTGTGCAGTATTCAGTACTATACCAATCATGGGAGTACTATTAAAGTTGTCGATTGAGTGTCGTGTGAAATATTTTTTCTTGTGTACAATCTTACTTTGAAAAACTGCAAAAGAGCGAGTCTGCAAAAGTTGAAGCGCGAAGCAGCGAGGGACTAGAGCACAGGATTTTATCTGGTCGTTCTTCATGACACCTGTTTGTCTCTGTGGTGACGACAGAACATGGTGACCAGTTTGTTTTGTTTTATTCATTCAGATTAAAGACAACTCGGGAATACAATTCAAATTTCCGTTTATTTTGAATATTTCTTTGGTTTACAGGACAAGATTACGTCAACGATGAAGCCTGCAGCCAAAAAAATGCTTTTGTTTGTGCTAAAGCTCTGTAAACGTCTCTGATGTCCCAACAACATGATGATGATGTCACTTCCAGCAGGAAGTCAAGCCTCGAAGACGTCCCTTCTGGAGGACAACTGGTCAAATCTGATGTCTTATTCAGAATATTAGCATGAATAAACACATGTCCTCACATGTTTTTGTCTTTGTCTGTCTGAGGTGATATTAGTAAAACCATCATTTACATTTAGTAAATAACACATAAGTACAGAATGCAGAACTTGTCAGGTTTGTACACAACAACAAAATGGTTCATGTCTCAAATGTATGCAGCACAATTTTAGAATAGTGTACAAATACTAACAGACATATTTTACTTTTATTATGTTAAAATGCAGAGTGCTTCTTTAAATAATGTATAAAATCTCTGGCTAGTCAGCTGTAAGATGTCTTACTACAACATTATGATGTAATATTATTTTCGTTATATAGTATGTTAGTTTTTCATTTATACACACAATAAACTGCTGGTTAAAAACAATCCAATCTGTATCCAGCACTAATTCTGGGTGGATTTACCTCATACACTTGCCATCCATCTCGATTTGGACCAGACTGTCCCAGATTTTGCCCCCCTGTCCCTTGTCTCGTACTAGGAGGACCAGGACACACAAATATTTCACATTTGACAAGAGCTGGCTGGGCTTCCCTTTACATGCCATGCCTGTGTGGTGGGAGGGACACGAGGGGCAGTTTCACAGGCTTCCTGCCACAGCTGGAGTCAGGTTACTGCAATAAGTCTGTGTTGGATGTAAAGTCCAATGTCTCAGCTTTCAGAAACCGTGAAGTAGAACAAACTATCATTTAGTTACGGTAATGCAAAGCGAGCTAAAAAAGAAACAGACAACCAAATAAAGGCTTCAGCAACACGCTCTATAAAATGATCAATTTATTTGTTAAAGTTCAGATATGTTTATATTTTCATTCTTTGATTCAGCCATGAACCATAATTTACTAATTTAAAATACTTTGCTTTTCATAATTAATAGTTCTGGAGAAGTGTGTGTGTGTGTGTGCTTGTTTATGATACTTTGTAAGGCCCATTTTTCCAACTTATACTACGTTGTGAGGACCAACTGCTCCTCACGGGGCCCAAAGCCCGGGCCACATAAGAAAAAGTCCCATTGGTGGGTTAATGGTTAGGACTAAGGTGAGAATTGAGGATGTGTTAGGTTTAGGGTAAAGGTCAGGGTTAGGCTATAGAAATGAATGAAAAATGGATGGAAGTCAATGCAAAGGCCCCATAAATATAGCAAAACAAACCTGTGTGTGTGTGTGTGTGCGTGCGTGCCGTGTGTGACATCTGTGTGTGTGTGTGTGTGTGTGTGTGTGTGTGCGCGCGCGCTTGTTTATGATACTTTGTGAGGCCCATTTTTCCAACTTGTACTACATTGTGAGGACCAACTGCTCCTCATGGGGCCCAAAGCCCGAGCCACATGAGGAGTGCCGTCAGCAGGTCAGGGGTTAGGTGCAGGACTAAGGTGTGAACTGAGGAAGGTTTAGGTGTGTACTGGTAATGGTTAAGTTTAGGGTAAGAGTCAGGTTTAAACTATAGTCATGAATGAAAAATGACTGAAAATCACTGTAAAGTCCCTTTTAATGATAGAAAAACAAATTTTTGGGAAAACTTTTTTCTGTGAAGCTCAGTCCTAACCTCCTTCTACAGGTGTGCAGTGGAGAGCATCCTGTGCTCCAGCATCAACGTGTGGCATGGAGGCTGCACAGCTGCAGAAAGAAAAGCTCTGCAGAGAGTGGTGAAGGCTGCACAGAAGATGTTGGAATCAGCCTCCCCACCATTACAGACATCTACACTTCCAGATGCAGGAAGAGGGCCACCTGCATCACGAAGGACCCCACTCACCCAGCACACACTTTTTGCCCCACTCCCCTCAGGAAGGAGGTTGAGGAGCATTAAGTGTAGAACCACTAGACTGAGGAACAGCTTCTACCCTGAGGCTGTTAGACTCATGAATCTCTAACCAGAACGATCACTGTGAAAAATCACATCATGCTGCTGCTGATCTGTTTCATGTTGCTGCTGATCTGCTTCATGTTGATGTGTTCATTCTTGCTCATCTGCTCACACAGACTCATGTTCATGCTACTGTTCGACGTAATGTTTTTATGTTATGAGTGTTTAGTGTATATTTAGTTGATGTTTTACTTAGTTCATATTTTAGATCTTTTTACTGTTTTTCTTTTTCATTTTATTGTTGGATGTAACTGGGACCCTGTGAACATAATTTCGTTCCACCACATGTACCACAT